GCTGTTGGCAGTTGTAGTGTGACCGCTGTTGGCAGTTGTAGTGTTTCCACTGTTGGCAGTAACAGTGTGTCCGCTGTTGGCAGTTGCAGTCCTCCTCCTCACAGTGCAGACATAAACCCGACTGTTAGATCTGAACACTGTAAGCTAACTCCAGATCTGGTTCCTCCTCAGGGTCCAGGTGTTCTCTCAGGTGAACAAGATGTCAGCTCACAATCTGGCTGTGGTTCTGGTCCCGACTCTGTTTCAGACTCTGAACCAGGATCTGCTCAGACTCACCAGAGAGTTCATTTTCCACCACACACTGTTGTTTCTGGTAAATGAGTCACAAAGCACACACTGACTGTTATATATACCTGTAACTCTATAACTCACCTGTAACACATTTATAACTCACCTGTAACACATTTATAATTTACCTGTAACATCTTTATCACTCACCTATAACTCACCTGGAACACATCTGAAACTCACTTATAACTCACCAACTCACCTGTGACTCACCTGTAATTCACCTGCAACTCAACTGTGAGTCACCTGTAGCATCTTTATGACTCACGTATTACTCATTTGTAAAACATATCTGTAACTCCCCAACTCACCTGTAACATATCTGTAACTCACCTTTAACTCACCTGTAACTCACCAACTCACCTGTAACTCACTTTTAACACACCTTTAACTCACCTGTAACATATCTGTAGCTCACCTGTAACTTACCTGTGACTCACCTGTAACTCACATGTAACTCATCTGTAACTCACCAACTCACCTGTAACATACCTGTAACTCACCTGTAACATATCTGTAACTCACCTGTGACTCACCTGTAATCCTGCTGTATGTTTTATATTCAGGTATTGGGCTTTTGTTTTTCCCGTGTGGAGTTTGTCTTGATTGATTATTGATTATTTGAGACAATAATGAAGTTGTGTTTGTATTTAATTGATTTTATATGTTATTGATAACATTGTGACGTGTTAGTGTTATTATATCACAGGATAAAGAGTTAAATATTGATTAATGACAAAATACTGAACAAAATGAGACTGATAAACTGTAAACAAAAGGTTCATCAGAAAGCATCACTTTCTGTTGGTATAAAACAATATAGTATATGTTACTTTTAATTATTTGGACACTGATCAGCTTATTGATCAGCAGATTGATGGATAATCTGATCAGCTACCAGCTGACCTGTTACATCCAGTCACATTTGTTCTGAACAGAAAAGTTACTGGCTCAGCTTAATTAGCTCGTTAAGGAACAGCCAATCAGGCGCAGAGAACAGACCCTGGTTCGTTAAAGGTTCTGGGAGGTGATCCGGTTTGTTGGATGACTGCAGTCGAGCACCAGCAGAGACTTCTGAGAAACATTTAAACTGAACTGAGTTGTTTCTCTCCAGACGGCTGACGGAGAGCAGAGAGAGGAAGAGGAAGAGCAGATCACTGTCTTCTGAGGAAAAAAGACTCATATCGGAGTTCAGATCTTTAATTTAAATAATAATAATCAATAATTTACCGATGTTCCTAAATGTTCTAGGTGGGTGGTGGTTAAACAGATAACATATATATTTCAGTACTGACACACTCATTTACAGCACCTTACAACTGTCCAGTTAAAAGTTACTCCAGCTCTGGTGTGTATAGATCGTTAGCAGTCAGGTGAAACTGAGATGGAGGACAGGAAGTGAAAGCAGATGGATGAAATGGAGGAAAGTATGATGTGCTTGTTTAAACCATATTAGAAAGCATTACAACGTATGTTGGACGTGATTCAGAGAACACATTTTTCAACTGAATTCAAAGACTGAAGTCGTTATATGTCTCTGTTTAGGCTCCTTTGATTCAGTTTAGCTCTCAGAAGGTGGTCAGGTTTCTGGTCCACCGCTCCCTCCATCAGTTAGTCTGTTTGTGTGACTTTGGTAATCGACACTAATGAGCTGAAACACCAAAGCCTTCTGGTCTTTTAGAGATACTCTAACAGCTTCAGTTCATCATATATATATATATATATACACACACACACAATATAGCTGCTGCCCTGTTCACATAAGACCTTTTTTTAAATCAGGTTTCTGTGAACTTCTTGCATTTTTCCCTTTATGAACAACAACTTTTGGTCCTTGATAAAAGCTCTCGTGGATTCTCAGTTAACCATAAGAAATGTAGATTGTAGAGTTTGTGATGCCAATGTATAAAATCACTTCTTGTCCTCTGTCTGCAGTTGGTCCCACAGGAACACGGCGAATATATAAAGTATAAACTGATCTGTAACAATGTTCTGTCAGTTTCACATTTAAACACTTTGTAATTAAAACCTTAAACAAATATAAACTGTCTGTCTTGTTATTGTGTGGTGTGTGCAGATTATTTAAGCACAGTCTAGATGCAGTCGGGCATGTAGGGTGCCTTTTTGTTCAAATATGAAGAAGGATCAGTCATATTTGTTGTTCCATACCGATATTTAAAGAGGAGTCCATAGAGGTCACAGTTGGAAAGGAGAACCTTCTGTATAACAGGAATAATTTAATATTTAACATTTACTATTTACATTTACTTACCATATTTAGCATTCAATTCAATTCAATTTTATTTGTATAGCGTGTGGCGGGACAAGAATGGACCAAAATCAGAGTTCAGTGAAAACCCACTAAGGTGGGTGCTTTATTTTTCTTGGTGCAGCAAAGCAGTGAGTGCAGCGGTGTAGGCCCCTCGTGG